CAGGTTTAAGATGAAAGAGATGATGGATACCTAAAGAAAGAAATACAGATAGTAGAGGTGTGTATCAGCAAGAATCTGGTGATATAAGTATCACAGTACAGGAGCAACGATACCATATATTGCGATATATTGCGATTGAGGGTTTTTTTTAAAACAATTGAATTGTAGTGAGACAGTCGTCAAAGTAAAGACTCAGGGTTACTAACACTGGAACAGAGGGATCTACATTTGGAATCAGTATAAGAAAAAAAATAAACCAAGGCCATGAATATTTGACTGGGAATTGGTGATTAAAAAAAAAATCCATACAGTGCTGTAGGATATTGATACGCATCGTAAAATGAATTACTGCGATATTTCAATGTATATATATTGTCAGTGGAGAAAAGTGGACCCTCTCCCCCTCCAGAGGAGGAGGTGCAGGGACATGCAGTACTGTAGAGATGGACCTCATCATGTTGAGGTCTGTTAGTTTGTTTCTCTCCTGCCGGATGATGGTGTGGAGTAGATTTGGCTGTCACTCTAAAATATATTCCTCAGTATTAGGACTGCGGAAGTCTTCCAAGCGGAACGTTGGGCAAATGTAAATTCTAATGGCTTAAAGTTCTAAAGTGGAAATCACCCAGTGATGGCACGCAGGCCTGTGTGATATACACGGACGGCCACTGTCTGGTGAGCAGCGTAAATCATCCCATACTCCAAGGCCCCGGGGCCAAAAAGCTGCCCCGCGCTATAGAGTCACATCCAAGTAATGAATACTGTAATAGAGTAATAAAGTCGCAGTAAATATACGGCCCTGGTGGACGGCATGCACTTTAAAATCCATACATTAGCTACAGCGGTGGACGCCACCGCCGCCGCCGCCTTGTATCGATTGGCCCAAGTGTGTGTTTGGCCTCTGGGCAGTGGCCGCAGGCTGCAGGCAGAGAGGGCGAGGACGAGGATGGATGTTCTCGTTCCAGCGCTTTCCTTCACTGCCTCTGATGTCTCTCTAGCTGGAATATAGACTCCGGCGTGAAGGATGGAGCAATCTGCAATTTATAGAGGCTCACAGTGGCAGTTCACCTCCTCCTCCTCCTCTTCGCCCACTGTGTGTGTGTTTTCATACATGTGTTCTGTTTTGTAGCCTTTGTGTGGTCCAGTCACTGCCTGAAGGGGGGATCGGGGGGGCAGAGCCCCAGCAGCCCACGCAGCACAGGCCTGGATGAAGGGTTGATTGTGTATTTAGTTCATTGCCTGTAGACAGTACCCATCATGTGAGGGGGGGGGGGTGG